GCTGGCTGCTGGCTACACACGGTAGCCCATGGCAACCCACTGCCACAGAGACTGCAGCCTATGCCGTCGCCAGCAACTCACGGCAGCCCAGCTCCAGGCCGAGCTGTTGTTCAGCATCTTAGCTCTAGAGGGCAGTGTCACTGGCCCTCACATGTGGGATCCGAACCGGGGCCCTCTGGCATCCCAAGCGAGTCCCCAACCATCGCGCCACTCGGCCGGCCCTCCTGTTCCTTCTTTAACACGTGGAGTGTTCCTCATCGCTGTTTGAACACCCCGTCTGCTCATCCTGCCTCTCTTTATGGTGTTCCTCCCTGGTGGGGCTGTGGTTTCCTGCTTTGTCACCTGCCTGGTGGTGGTTTATCAGAGGCCAGGCTCTGCAGGTACACTGGTAGGTGCTAAACTTGGTCGCACGCCTTTGAACCGTGGTGGACCTTGCTCGGACATGTTGTCGGCAACCTGGAGCTGTCGGACCGTGTCCAGGGTTTGCTCTGACACATTCTTAGGGCAGGCACAGAGCTACATTTGGTGTAGGCCACACCCTTCCGCGGCTTGGGACACAGATTGTCACAGCGTGTGTGAGCTGTTGACCTTCCCAGCTGGGTGCAGGGCTGTATGTGGCCAGGACTCATAAGCCGGGGAACCTGTCCTCATTGGCTCACTGCCCAGCCCTGCAGGTCCCCACCTTGGCTGTGGCCTGTGCCCAGTTCCGGTGTCTGCAGGCCTCCTGCTTACACCATCATTTTCTAGTTGTTACAACAGGAGGGCAAGGCCTGTGCATGCAGCAACACACTCACACTGAGGTGGTGCATGGTTTCTTGTTGGTGCTGGGTGGCCTGTACCCTGGGAGAGATAGGGGGTAGCCCCATACCCTGGGAGAGATGGGGGACCCGTACCCTGGGAGCCATGGCTCTGGCTGAGTCCTGGGCTTAGCTGACAGCAGAGACGCAGACACACAAACATACGACTTTGGCTTGCACTTGCTGAGCCTGGACAATATGTGCAGACCTGTTGAAATATCCCGCCCGTCCCTGTTGAAATGTCCTCCTGCACACCTGGCAGTGGGGCGTGTCCAGGGACTGTCCCCACCCTCCCTCCCCTCCCCCACACCTGGCAGTGGGGCATGTCCAGGGGGCTGGGCCCCTGGCTTTATGAGGTACCCTGGGTGTGTCAACCATGGAGGTTCTGAGCTCCTGCCTGAATGGAACTCTTCATTTTGGCCTGAGTTAAGCAAGAAGCTGTGTTCTTTTCTGTTTAACTGAGAAATTTGTGATAGTTGTGAAGAGTGGGGTTCTGGCTGCGAGGGAGGTAGGTGCTTTATATCTTCCTTCTGTTCTCACCAGGGGACTAGCAGCTTTAACTTCTGGAGGTCCATGAAGGTATCAGGACCCAGTAGGACACAGAGCAGAATAATGACTCAGAAGCTGTTGGGATCGGTGTCCCACGACGGGGTTCAGAAATGTTTGCACAGAGGTTGTAGTATCATAAAGACGCTGACAGGAGTGCCCTAGCCTGTGTGCTGGTATGCCAGGATGCCTTGTCCCAGGGGAGGACAGGCACAGTGGGAGAAGGGGCTGTTCCTACACCCGCAGAAAAGGAGAAGCAGGAGGTGCTGGCAGGGTGGTCGCCCTCCCATTGGTTAAGTCACCCCTCCCCCTGTAGCCATGGGCTAGCTTGGGGCAGCCCCGCAAATGTCGGCCATGGTTATGTTGGGGGTCCAGGGGCCTGGAGGTGAGGATCACCTTGTGGGGTCATTCCATTGTCGATGTATTGTGGACAAAAACACAGGCTATCAAGCTTAGCGACAATGAAAAACAAGAGGCATGAACTGAAATGGGGCAGAAAGGGGACCCAGGCACCACCAAGCCCCAAACAGGGCTAATTTCCTTAGCCCAAAGCTACATGTCAGCTCTATAAATGACATCATAGATGTTCCCAGTCCTTGGGATGAATCAGGATTAATTAAAACATCTATGGAAGGGGCCAGCCGAGTGGCACGATGGTTAAGAACTGGCTTGGGATGCCAGAGGGCCCCAGTTCGGATCCCACATATGAGGGCCAGTGACACTGCCC